ACTGGAAAAATAAAATGACATGCATGAAGATCCCATTATGTTCAATGAATGTACCAAGTTTAAACTAAGCCTTCCCACAAACCACTAAGATCTTATTCCGGAATCAATGGTGAAAACATGTGATTTTGATACATTTTTGGTCTTAAAATGGCTGCTATTCAGTCATTATGAATGAGATCATGAAACAAAAGAAATGGACAGACACACGAATGCTCTGAGGTCAATCCATCAGTCCCCATTTTCCAGCTGCTCTCAAACGATGACTAAAAAGAAGCATGTACCAGGTAACAACCATTTTGTTTGGATTGGATTTTAAGATCACTAATCTGGATATGATGAAGCTAGAGAGAACATCGCTAAGTCTTGATGCATGATGGGCTCCATCAACTGGAGTGAGATATTTGCATTGACCTGGCAGCCATTTTATTATTTACAACTACAAGTTTGGCATATAGAATGAATGGCAGATGGTAAGCAATATATTGTACTCACCCGTACAGTCCTGGGCAATGTAAACACATAGCTGATTTAATAAGGGATCAAACTTAGGTGCTGTGTCCATAGCTCTCCTGAAAAATACAATAAGTTTTGATAAGGTCAACATGCTCCTGACCTATTCCCTAGATAACTATAGCTGTCCTCAAGAGGGTTATAGACAATTAAATTGAGAGAGGGTGCTGGAGGGGTCATTTGAGGGGGCTTAAGGAAATATTTCCATACTGATTTCCTTTTCACTGTACCGATGGCATGCATATGCAACACATCATCATGCATATGTAAATAAAGCATAATTAATATACTATAAACAATTTTGAACATATCCTGAAACAAGATTTTAATAATTACAGGCACAACATTATTGTCATATGTGACTATTGTCTAGCAATGTTGTTTCTGTAAGTCTAAAATCAACAAAGATGTTACTTTATTTTGAGGATTATTAACAATGTCAGAAAAAAACAAGACAAGCAAGATCATGTCTGTTTTCTCCTGATATAACAATATCAACATAGTGCCCATGTGTTCATAAACAAGACTACATATATACCATCAAATTTAGGCAACTGTAGGTAATGCAAATTAAGAAATAGATGAACTAAGTGATTCTCACTAAAAACAAATCCAAAAGCATCTGATTGGATTACCTATAATGCTCATTATATAGTAGTTTGTTTCACAGCAGTTAGTGTTATTCAATTCTTTTGCACTGATTCATCATGAAACACATTAGAACTGATTCATTCAGTAAAATATTTGTTGTTAACCCTTTGATCCCCATTGTAAGTTTTGGCACCATCTACAAAATGACTTTGTATAGTCTGCTTCTTCCCAATTGAAATGTTGGTAAAAAATTAATAAACCTTTTGATTAAAAAATAGATGCACTGTCTGTATGGTCCAAAATGGTGAGGAAATTTACTTTACAACATGTGAAAATATTTGCACTGAATTTTGGCTCTCAAACGAGTTTATAAAATGCCTTTGTTGTTACCGCTGATCCACATCTAATATTCATGTCAAATGATGACAATTTGAGACAGCAATTGTTTCCAGTGTCTCCAGTGACTGAAATATTATAATTTCAAACATACATACTTTAATATATGTGCCACGGATGCCGGACCATACCAGTCACCAGGTCTTTTACCGGCTTCATGTCCCAGACTAACCAGTCTGTGTACAGAGAATGGACTCTGTTCACCAGGCTGGTCACCGAACCATTTGACAATCTGCCGATGATATGCAATCTGTTCCTTGGTTTCTACATCATAAAGACACCAATCTAGAAAAGAAAAGTTAAAATAATGAATTATGAGAAAACTAGCAACATGTATTGCACTTGAGAATGTGATGGATTGGTTTGAGTTAACACTAAATTCGTTTCCAATTTCCCCAATATCAGAGAAGAACCATTCATAAAGATACACAACATAAATATTCCTATACACATTGTCATCTGGACTCACTACATAAAAATGCAATAATAATAACGCAATGAACTCTTTGATAGGTGGCTTGTTTTGCCACAACTGATACTAAAGAATCTGTCCGTGGTGGGCACACAATATTTATGGGTCGACCACTTAATTAAAATCCCTTGTGCAGAACACTATACTGTAGAATACTTTATTTTCACTTGGAATTTATTTTCGCTATTTTCGCTGAAAGGATGATTCCGTGAAAATAAAATCCAGCGAATATACATTTTTTCCTATATTTCTATATAAACTCATCCAGAATCAATGAAAATATATTCCATACAAAACGTCCAAAAAGCCTTTTCAGCGAAAATTTATTCCAGCGAAAATAAAGTATTCCACAGTATGCCTTTAGTTTACATGTGTCATCTTCATAAATAATGTCATAATTTGTGTTATCCTTATAAAGATGTATAAACATCACCCTCTAGTGATTAGTGAATTTTGTTTGTTTTTATATCTTCCAATCTAATAATAATGCAGATTTTGTAATGAAATCAGCAGAACAACACCACAATTTCATATTTTCACATCAACCTTAGTATCAAAAAGCTCTGCAGTCTATGCACAAGTCCAAATACGTTACATCCCACATTCATCAACTGGATTTACTATTTTGCCCCTCCCCCTCTTGTAAATTATTTGGAAATACCAACTTACCTCTTCCAAGAAAGTGAGTGAGAAAGCTTTGTGCAAGCATCATTTGTCCACTACGAAGCATGCAACCCCAACCACAGTCTGTTGTTAAACTAGTACCAGCAAGCTGTTGAAATTCTCTTCTGTAGGTCAACCATAAACGAGAGGTAAAATCACGCTTGAATCTCTCCATTGGTGTGAGGCAGTCATCTTCTGCTGATTGCTCAGTTTCATTGGGATCTGAAAGTAAAGATCTCTAATTTATAACTTACAATAAAGACATCTTTACAAACAACTTTAATAGTTATTCCATAGCCTACATTATTATACATCTGCCACCAAAATTTAGCAATCTCGCTGTGTTTATAATTGTTACTACCGGTATTGAGTACAAAATTATTACAAAAGTGTTTAGAATTGTTTTGAAAGTTTTCAGAATTTTTTTGAAAGTCTTCAGAATTGTTACAAAAGTGTTTAGAATTGTTACAGAGGTGTTCAGAAGAGTTACGATGTGTGTTTTTCATATTTGAGAAAAGTTCATCAAATAAATACAAATGAACATGCACACATGAATCTTAAATCTTTCCCATATGTATTGGGGAGATACCGTACTTAGAGAGCATCTTGGTAACTCAGACCAAAACACATGCATTTTTGGGCATTGTCACTGAAAATGGTGATGTATTTTTTATTGGTGTTATTTGAAACAGGATATGTTTGGAAGTATGGAAGAAGGACTCACCATCAGGTCTATGATGATAACATTCCCCAAGAAGCCATATTGGAGTATGGTAACTAAAATTGGTTTGACTTTTAGATGACCAGCCTGAAAAAAAATGAATTACAAAAGATTGTAATATTTCAATAGTTGCACATGTCTTAAATTATGACACAACAACTTAGAACAATCTTATTACAGTTACATGATATTATCAAAATATGTTCATTTCTTAAAAATCCCATCAGACGTCATATTATAGAAGTGACCTTCATCTTCTATGTCCTACAACAAACAATGTTTACAAATCTTATTTTCCAACAGAGTTGTTTGGTTAGGTGTGTTTTTCCTATGTAAACTATAATCTATGATAATCCCCTTATTGGTAATCTAACCTTGCCTACCATGCCTAGTTTTTGCATGCCGACCCTGTTCAGGGCTAAACTGAAGTGGCCACTAGAGGCCACTAAACTATCTTCTTAGTGAAAACTGTCATGCTACCATTCAACGGCAGCTACACATATACTGTAAAACATGTCTTTTTAGCAAATTTAACGAGAGAACTGATTCGCTAATTCAAGATGTCGGACTAAATATTATAGATTTGTATACAGGTAATCTGGAACATAAAAATCTGGGGCACTTCCTAATTACACTTGACAGTTTTTCTTTGTTTTTATGGAGGTGATAACTGCACATTTGTTTCGGCACGCGACAGACAAGTATTGTGAAAACAGGAAATCAACAATGACAAGAGAGATTCGCTAAATCAACATTTCGCTTTTTACCACAATTCACTAAAATTGCATGTCGCTTTTCCAACATGTTTTACAGTAGGTATACACTTGAAAAATTCATGGTTCTGTTATCAGTTGCAAC